AATAAAATAAAATAGATATTAAATAATAGAAAAAACAAGCTACAGAAATAAAGTCAAAATTAGAATTAGATTAGAGTATATATACTACAGAAATAGGGTTTCAAAAAACCCTATTTTGTCTCTATTAGAGCAAATTAGAATTTTTTATATATAAAAGCAAATTTAATTTAGATAATTATATTTCTTATAATTGTCTTTTTAAAAAAAGTGTCAAAAATTTTTATTTTTTAAATAAAATAAATCAAAAATAATTTCATCTTCAAATTTTAATTTCAGATTTTGAACCTCAAAATAATTTTATCAATATGTATAGATTGAGACAAGATATATCAAAAACAAAAAAAAATTAATAAAGATAGCAACTGAAGACAATATTACAATTTAAAAAATTTATCAAAATCTTAGTAGCAAATCAGTATAAAATAAAAAGAAAAATTAAAGAAAAAAAGAGAAAAATACAAGTTTGGCAAAGAAAAAAATAAGCTGCTGAAATAAAATTAAAGTTAGAATTATATTAGAACCAAAAACTTCAAGAATAAAGAAAATTTTGACAAAGATAATATAACAAAACAATATTGAAGACATTAGTACAACAATTTAAAAAAACTGTCAAAACTACTATAACAAACCAGCATAAGAAAAAAGAAAAAATTAAAGAAGAAAAGTAAAAAAAAATCAAGAGATATAATACTATAGACCTTACAGAAGTAAAAATTCTAAACAAGATTTAAAAAGAAATAAGACTAAAAATTTTATTAACAACTTCAACAGAATAAATAATAGAAATAGTATATTAAACAAGCATTGAAGACTCACAGATCAATAATAGAAATTAGAAAAAAAAGAAAAAAAATTTGCTTGTAGAGTGGATACAATAATCAAGATTCTAATAAACTATTAATACAAATTTGATTTAAATATATTAGTAGAAAGATTAAAGAGAATCAGGAATTACAAAAGAAAAAAGAAAGATATGATATTAGATATAGTAGAAAAGATTCTAGTAGAATTATTCAGAAATTAGAAAACTTTTATTAAAATACAAAAAAGTTTCTAGAAAAAAAATTAGGTTTTAAAAAGAAAAAAAAAGAAGATAAAGACAGAAAAGAAAAAAGACTTGAACAAACTAATCAAGATTTAGAAATAAAAAAATCAAAAGAAGGCTCAAAACAGTTAGAAAGAGAGAAGGCTTACAAAAAAATACTTCTAGAAAGACTCTTAAAACAAATTCTTTAAAAGAAGAAAAAGAATATGAAGCTATGAAATAAAAGAAAAAATACAAAAAGAAAATATAAAAAGATTTTAAGAGTTAGATTCTTGATCAGAAAAAACAAAATAAATTAGAAGAAAAGAAGAAGAAAGTGCAAATACAATTAAAAGAATTTTAATAATAACCCTTTAGTGAAAGATAAAATAGAATTAGGTATTAATATAGAATTAGAATTAGATTATTGTTTTAAAAAGAAAAATATATTAGAAGGGAGAAATTGCTAATTAAATATAGTTAAAATTCTTTCAAAATGAAATTATTTTGTTATAGTTTCATTAGCTAGCTTGGTGCAATCTCTGGTATAAGAAATAGGCTTAATTAATGAGACAAATTGCACTTAAATATCTATAGAAAAAACCAAGTGATATTGAATTTACAACTTAGATAGTTTAGAATATATTTGTATATTTGCTTTAATCTAATAAAGACATCAGCAAGGTTACCAACACAGAAAAAAAAATAAATATTTTGTTAATTTAAATTTGATTTAATTTAAAATTTTTATATTTAAATTTGATATTAAATATTTAATTAAATAAAATCAAATCAAATTGCAAAACTCTACTTGAAGATACTAGTAATTTCTTGTATATTTAATATAGTAAAAATAATAACCCAAAAGGCTAACCTTAACTACAAAAAAAATAATAATAGGATTAGTAATTCAAGCTTTGTTTTAGTAATAAATATCACTTTTGCTCTACTTTATTTGTATCTATCTTTTATATATATATAATCTAATAAATTATATATATTTTTTTAAAATTTATATTTTTAATACTATAATATTATAAATAATAAATTGCAAATTGTGATTTAATTAGCTAATAATTATATGTAGATCTACAAATTAATCTACAAAACTAACTATTTCTTTCTATAAGAACCAAACCTATAATTGAGTTTGAGTTTGGTTTGAAGTTTAAAACTAGTAAAATTTAGAATTTGAGTTTGGTTTGATCTTAGATCAAACAGACCCAAAGCAAATCTAGAAATACTACTTCAGATAATTATAATTCTCAAAATTTTACTAATTAATTCTAACTAAAGAAGTTAACAGTCAAGTTTTGGCCCAGATCTAACCTGGTCAATTATGATCTTCATTTTTAAAACTTCATAAAAACCAATTTTTTTCAAGTTTAAACCAGTCTTAAGACTAACCATGATCTATTAGTCTAAAACCGAAACACATAGTATCCCTAATTCTAACTTCATGTTCTAAATAAACTTGTTTAGCATTCAAAAATACATCTATATCTATTCGAACTCAAATTAGTTTGCAAACTTCAGACCAAACTTGAACCGAACTTGTAATTGAGTTTGAGTTTGTCTGGTTTGAAGTTTGAATATGACAAAATTTAGAGTTTGAGTCCAGTTTGAGACCCAGACCAGACCAGACCCGAACTGAACCTAGCATTAATCCAAAAAAAAAGAATCATAAAAAATTGCCAGAGCTATTAGTAAAAAAAAAACAACAAAACAAAAAAAAAAAACAAAAAAAAAAGAAAAAAAAGAAACAAAAAAAATTATCACCAGAAGAACCATAACAAAAGTTAAAAAATTGCTAAAGGTTCAAAAAGAAGTTAAGAATTGCCAAAGAATACACAAAGGAAATCAAAAAATTGTCAAAAAATCACAATAGAAATCAATAATTGTTAGAACTATTAGTAAAGAAACAAACAAAAAAAAAGAAAAAAACCTATATACTGGAAGAATATACTATATAAGAAACCAAAAACACAACTAAAGGCAAAGACCACTAATCATAAAACCACAAATTAAAATTATTATAAATCCAAGAAGTGAAAAACAAACTTACTGGAAGAATCACAAGACGAGAAAGCCAAAAAAAGATACTTAAAATGAAAGAACCACCAGAAACCGCCGAAGAATCGAAGGCTGCAATAAAAAATAACACGATTTATGGATCTAAAACCTTATCGTTATCATCAAGATCACCGAGATTGTTACATATTAAACGTGTAACAGGTTGTTAATGTACATATAACGATAAGATTTTGATCGATTTAAGATGAACAAGTAGGAACAAAGAGATTAATAATAACATGAAGAGTTTTAACTTTCTTTAATTACCTTTCACTTTTACTAGTTTCGCCACCTTTCGCCAGTTTCGCCGCCTTTCACCAGTTTCGCCATTTCGCCCTTTTAATTTTTTTTTGGCGAAGGTCGAAACTAGGTTTCGCCTTTCGTCTGTGGCGAAACCCCTAGTTTCGCCTAACAACGCTACTTCTGATCCTCATTTAAAAATTATGCAGATTCTTCGTGAATCATCTGCAATGAGTAATTTCATAATTAATAATATATATTATGGAAAATAAATCGTATAATTTTTTTTTCTAACATTAGGTTAAATTGTTTTAGATGATCCAATCCAAGGCTTCGATGCACAATTTAAATATGGACGAATGTTTCGTGCAGGAGAGGTTAGATTTTTTACATTCCATCAAATTTATAGAATTTTATCAACTTCCAGAATATTCAATTATAATTCTTTTAGGTATATGCACCGCATGATCTCAATGAAGAAAATTATAAAGACAAAAATCCACGAAAATATCAAAGGTTACAGCCAAATACTGATGTATTTGAAAGATTGGGTCTTGATCCTTTGAAAGAATATAAAGTAAATATAAAATTTAGTTACTTTTAGACATGAAGTTATATCTCATCCTAATTTACGGACATATCGCCTATTCTATCATTGTAGAATTTTAGATTATTATCAAATTTCGTTTCCGATATGGGAAAAATTCTTCCAAGAAGGACTACAGGTGCAAATAATTTCACATAATAAAGGTAATATTTTTTTATAGCAGCAAGAATTAAATCTCTTCTAAAAATAATTTAGGCTTAACAGCAAAAACTCAAAGAAAATTGGCGAAGGCTATCAAACGTGCTCGTTCATTTGGTAAATTTCTAAAATGCAATAATTTATGCAGTAACTTATTTTATGCGAATCAGAATTATGATCCTTCTTTTTTACAGGATTAATTCCAGCAACTTATGCATATGACCGAAACTTTTAACGGTTTTGATGAAACCGAAAATCCGAAACCTTGATTCGAAACTTACGCCGAATCCAAAGACCCTTGCCGCAATCCAAAATTTAATCGAAAATTATTTTTATAGAATTGAAACCCGGAATTGAATATTTTTTAAGTTGTCAGTGTGTTAAACTTTATTCCTGAAAAAAAAAGATTTTTATTTAACCACTCATACAGTACAACTAGCTCTCAGACCCGGGCGATGCTCCGGGGCAAGGCTTTATATTTTTTTTAATTTTTAACTCTTATATCCGGGTTCAAATAATCCTAATTTAGGTTTGCTTGAACCTAGCTTGGGTTCAAATAAACCCAATTTGGGTTCACTTGAACCTGGCTTGGGTTCAAATAAACCCGATTTGGGTTTACTTGAACCCGGCTTGGGTTTAAAAGAACCTGATTTGTGTTCAAATGAACCTGGCTTGGGTTCACTTGAACCTGGCTTGGATTCAAATAAATGTGATTTGGGTTCACTTGAACCCAATTTGGGTTCAAATGAATTTAATGAACTTGGCTTGGGTTTACTTGAACTTGGCTTAAGTTTACTTGAACCTAGCTTGGGTTTACTTGAACCTGATTGGGTTTACTTAAACTTGGTTTGGGTTTAAATAAACCTGATTTGGGGTTACTTGAACCTGGCTTAGATTTAAATAAAACTGATTTGGATTTACTTAAATTTAGCTTGGCTGGGTTCACAAAAGAGATAATCTACCCGAGCTTCCGAAAAAAAGTACTGTAAAACGTATAAAAAAAATTCCGAATCAAT